AGATTACAAGGAAGTTAGTAAAAATGTGTATTCCTTTCTGCATGGAAAGAAGTTTTAAAAAGATTAAATATATGCAAATAAAACCATTACTTGCAGGTATAACATGAACGAGAAGCATCAGCTTCATCTAAAATTAATGTAAACTAAGTAAACATAAGCTAGATTTATATTTATGTGAGCCAGAATTACTACTATGCAAGACACAAAATCTAGAAGCTGGCTCTAACAGCTACCATGGGTTCTTTCTAAAGTATTTGAGAACAAGAATGAGCTTTAGCTTGTTTTTAGGAGGGTGAGATAACATCTCTTACAGGTCATCCTGAAAGCTGAGGGCGAATCTCCCCACAGGATCCGCATCAGACTGAATGCTGCGAGGAGATCCCGATGCAAGCGAACGTCGACCTTCTTCCAAGTAAGATGCCTGCACATCCGAGAGCCTGTGGGGGCCGGGAGCAAACACAGGTCACGCTGCGGCGCAACACGCGCCAAGCCTCGTCTTCAGGCCTTGACAAAAACACTCCCTATGGTTGCAGCTCTCCCATATATTCCATAATTTGAGTATTTTTTAGACTTTTTTACTTTTTTTTTTTTTTTAACACATCTGTATTTACAGGTACACATATCAACCCAAAGGATCTTCTTCAACTCTCTGGAATTCTTTAAGCAAATACTTCATCGTTCTCTTTTTCAGTCATTATTGCAAGATTCTGTCCCATTTGGAATATACAATTCTCAAAACGCACAGCACAAAAGTCTCATCTTACTTCTTACTAAGTCACACATGAAAGGAGTAAAAGTGACCACAAGTTTCTTATTATTATTCTTTGCTCTTCTCTCTGTTGAACRAATTACTCTAAAATATATCATTTTTTAACCAATATCCATATAGCGCTTGTTCTTACAGTGCTTGTTCTAAAATGTGTTAGTTGAACTACATTAAAAGTTTTTTTCCGACTATACTTTTCAACTACATTTTTCAACTATATTGAAAAATACRAATACATATTATTCATCAAATGATCTCAATCTTTAGTTTAAAAAGAAGCTTAAGAATTATGCTTTATGAATTAAGAAGAACCATTTCATCATTCTAATTTCAACTTACAGAATGAATCACAGAATCACAGAATATTCAAGGTTGGAAGGGACCTCTAGAGATCATCTAGTCCAACCTTCCTGCTCAAGCAGGCACACCTAGMGCATGTGGCACAGGGTGGCATCCAGGYGGGTTTGGAAGATCTCCAGAGAAAGAGACTCCACAACCTCCCTGGGCAGCCTGTTCCAGGGCTCTGTCACCCTCACAGGAAAGAAGTTCCTCCTCACCTGGAGACAGAACTTCTTGTGCTCCAGAAATACCCTTTAAAAGAGTAGCTGATTAAATTTGAAGCATGACAAGCGCTAATTTCACCAAGGCTTGTTACTGCTAATACCATCATCCCATACTCCTGATTATCGAGTATCTTTATCATCTACCAAGTAAGCTGGCAAAAAAAAAAGAGAAAATCTGCCCAAAGGCTGGACATTTTAAAAGACTACTGCATTTTCTCACAGTTCAGCGTTCCCCTTTGGGCCGGTTTCCGGGGCGGCCTCACCTGTGCTCACAGCCCGCTCTGCTCCTGGCCCCGGTGGACGCGGCCACGGGCGGGCCGGGGTTCGAGGCGCCCGTGCCGTTGCCCAGGGCGCCGCTGCYGAGCGAGGCGCCCAGCAGGCTGGGCAGGCTCTCATCGCCGATATTCGCGCAGTCCTCCATGGCCCTAGCGCCGCCGCATCTGAAAGCGAACGGGGCAGCTCGACGCCGCGCCCGCCCCGCGGCACCGGCGTGTCGGGAGCCGACCGCCCCGCGGCCCGGACACGGGCGCCCTCCGCAGCCCTCCGCGCGGCCGGGCACTGCGCGCGCTTTCTAAAACGGGCAGCGGCCGGGGCGCTGCGGCGGCGCGGGCCCCGGGCCCGGCCTATATTTAGCGCGCAGAGCCGCTTGCGCCGCTGCAGCCTCGCCGGGGCCGGGGCCGCGGGCACCCGGGGGGGGGGGGGGGGGGGGGGGGGGGGGCGCGTCCCGCCGCCACTCGCCTGAGAGGAAAGGGAGGCGGCAGCGCGAGCGCCGCCCGCACCGAGCGGCAACGGCCCAACCGCCAAACTTCAACCGCCACCGGCGGCCCGCGCGCCGCCGCGCTCTCCGCACCCAACTTCCCCGCGCGCGCGCTCCTGCCTCCCTCCCGCCCGCGCCGCAGCCAATGGCGCGCCAGGRCAGAGCGAGAGAGGACTGCCGATTGGCCGTCAGGTCAGCCTCGGAGAGGGGGGGTAAAAAGTTTGCGAGAAGGCAGCGGATTGGACGAGAGGGCTACGCTCCGCCCCCGCGCCGCGTGCTCTTCCCGCCCGGCGGCGCGGGAGGGGCGGGGCCAGGGGCCGTCCGTTAGGGCCGGCGACGGCAGCCGTTGGGGACGGAGGGGGGCGGGAACGGGGCGGCAGCGGCGCGGGGGGAAGAGGGAACCTCCTCCTGCTGCTCCCCCTTCCCCCGCGGAACGGGGCGGCCTGGAGGCGGCCCGGGAGCTTGCAGAAGAATTAAGGGTTGTTTTACATAGTTCAGTGCCAGACTCCTTARGCGGGAAAGCAAATTGGATATTTGAGAGAAGAGGCTACAGCCCCCGTGCTGCCGTTTAACAGCTCGTCCGGGCCAGGGGGGCAGCCAGAGACAAGGGAAAAACTTTAGTCATATTTATTTATATGGTTACAGTCGTTGCACAGCACCTGCTGTTGCTAGATGAGTCACTATTTACAGGAAGCCTGGACAACGTACAGTTTACACATATTACATTCATCGTTTTATTTCAGTTTTGAGGCGGGTTAGTTCTTAGGAGGATGAGAAACTAGGGGACACCTTACCGAGAAGATACATAAAAATATGAATACAGAGACCCTAAAAGATGTGGAATATCCACACTGAATGTGYAGCTGAGAGGGCTCCAAGGGCCTCAGCAATACAGGGGGGACATCTCACAGAAGAGAAACAGGAGGGAGAAGAGCTTTATTAATGGCTGGATAAATTTAAAACACTGTGTGTACATGCTGTAATCCTCCCTAAGCCCTCAGTAACCTTATCATTCATCCCTCCTAGGGCTTCATAAGCTGGACTCYTGGAAACAAGATTCATTAGGAGGTTGAACCTGAGTTTGAAAGTCAAGTTGGACAGTCAAGGACATTAGAAAAAGGTCCTGGTTTGGAGAAACATCCACACAGAACAGCACACAGGGAAGAAAAATGAATAAAGCAGCTAGCAGGCACACAAGTACCATATGTACATACACACACACACACACACACACACACACACATATATATATATATATAAAAACTAGAGCTCAGCTGTTGAAATCGAAGCACTTGGCGCCTGCCCTGGAAATGTGACTCATTTGCACTGAGCATGTAATAGCATCCATTTGTAAAAAGGGGGACTGGAATTAGTCAGGATATCTAAGAATATGTGTTCAGCATAAAGGAAAGTAATGTAGCATGCCAAATTAACTGGAAACAAATACAGTAGAAGCTACAAACAGTTGGCATTATTTGGCAGTAATTGCATGTGGTTATTCTGGGCTCTGTCACAACTGCAGGAAAAAAAAAAAGTGCTAGCACTAAGTTTCCCCTAGAAAACTTTCCCTTACTTATAAAGGATGGGTATATATAAATACTTCTCTTCCAATATATTTTACACCATTTTTTTGTTATATTGCAGTAGTTGAGGCATATCTGACCAACACTATAAGGTCTTGTACAAACCTTCAACACACAGAAAAATCAACAAAAGAACTCTGGGCTTCTTAGGAAGGAGCCTTATTTTTCTTTTTCTCCCTGATAAGGAAAAGGGATAAGATAGAAATTCTGGGAACAGAAAAACTATTCAGAAAAATATTYTGCTGTCTGCATATACAAAAACATTTCATCTACTGTAGGAATCAACTGCAGTATAATAGCTTGGATCTCACTTTTTCCTCATATGACTCATCCCCCCAATAGTTATACACACCTCTACATTTCCACTTCCTACCCACATTTAAGCGATATTACTTTAAGTTACATAACATCTCAATTGCCATTTACTGTACAAAAGGTGGCATGGTTCCATAATATCTAACTTCTTGATCAAAAAATGAAAACAAAAAACAGCAACAACAAAAAATGAAACCCACAAGCAATTGCTTCTGCAGACACTGCACATATCCCTGCAAGCTGTGCACTGTCAGCAAGGGCTCTGCACAGCCCGGTACCTCTCCTGCTCTCTAGCAAACCAGAGCTACGTTCCTCAAACACACATTACACATTTGTTTCCTGCACRCTGACATTGTTCATGTCAACGTATTGACCCACTGCAATGTCTTCCCTGTGATGGCCCACGGAAGACAAGGCTTTAACAACTCAGCATTGTCCCACCAAGGTGTTGTAAATGTATTATTCAATCACTGAGGAAAGCAGTAATTCTATTTCAAATCTAACAGGTCTCTGCAAACCCTCCACACTGAGAAAAGCCACAGAACGTAACATGTGGTCGAAAAAATACAACGCACAGTTTTACATTCGGCAGGGCACATGACATTGCAAAAGCAAAGCTCTGAGAATGGACATAAAAATCCAAGGAGCATCTTGAGTAAGAACCTGTCATGAAAAAATAGCCTAATATAGAACTGGCATACTAATAAAGACCTTTTTAAATAAGTTTATTAGTCAATCACAGTTATAAAATTTAAATATCTTTACAGCAAGATGGAAARTTCTTAAAGCAACCCAAGGCTCAAGCTTATTTTTTTTGCTGCAGTATACACAGGAATGGTTTCTGGTAGGAGTTAATCCAACATCATTCTTCAGTTACTGAACAACTTCTTGAAGACATACCGAGGTTTAACAGTAAGTTTCACACTTGCGGGTGTAATAGAGGTTAAAAAAATCACAATGACAATAAACTGATTTCAAAATAGCAATAATGACAGGCACTTTGAAGTCAGCTACTCCATCAGTAGCTAAGTAATGGAGTAGTTAATACTGGTGGTATTGCTCTAGTTCAGGTGATACAGATTAAATTGTTCCTTTGCTGCCCAAGCACAAATAACATGTTCCAAATATTGTGGTTTGTTCTGCAAAACATGCAATAAAGCCCCCCAATTTTGCAAAATCTTCTGTAGGGAAGAAGAAACCAAAGCAGCCAGAAATGGAAGGTATTGGCAAACGTGAGAATAAGGCCTTCTAGAGTTTGCTTAAAGWAACGTTATGTTAAACCCCTTCATTCTCAGGTAATAGGTTAAGAGGCCGAGAGACACATCGTCGGCGAGGGTGTGGATACTGGAGGCTGGCAGGGTCAGCATCGCAAGAGGGCTCTATCAGAGGAGGAGGAGGAAGGAGCTGGGCATGGCTGGACCATCTCGATCCAGCCCGTGGGGAATCCAGAGGGGGAAAGAAATACCTGAAACAGTTAAGACAGGAACAAAACACCAAAACAAAAACACCAAAACAAAACAAACAAACAAAAAAAAAACAGAAGAAAAAAGAGAAAGGTAGTAAATACAAGGAGAACCAAAGAGGAGAAAAGACATGCTGGAAAAAAATAAAATAAAATGCTTTAGTATATCCATGCCAAAACCAATAGAACATAATAGCAGAAATCAAGGCTTTAATTCAAAACAAGACAAATCTGGATGCCGTTCTCTAAATAAAAAAGTGCAGTCTTTTCCACTGGAGTTCATAGAAAGAAATTAGAAAGTTCATAGAAAGAATTGTAAAATTTTCCCAAGAACAGATGGCTCTGGAAATGGAAGAGCTTCTATAGCACAACTAGCACCCTGCTTTCCCTCTCCAGAATTCCTGTGATTTGTTAACAGTTTTTAGTAACGCTTCATTTGCGACAAACGATGCAACAAAAGTTGCATTAAATATTATGCAAGTACATGTTCGGCAGATGCATCCAATTCAGATTAAGCTCACAGCACTTCTAGCATAGACGTAAAAACCATTTTTTTTTTTACAATACTTTAAATTTAATAATATACATTTACAGAGAATAACTACTTCCAATGAAATACAATCTTCCTAAGTATTCACATATTTCTGCAAAATCCTCAGAGTTTTTTTTCTGGTAAATGCACAGCTCAGAATTATGCCATTTCATGTCATTTTCCTGCCATTTTTATTAGATCTTACCCGTAATACTAGTGCCTTTTAGTATAGTTTTTAGATACTTGAAGGTTTCTCTGTCTTGTTTAAGTTCTATGGACTTTCAGAGGAGAACGACACGTGACTAATAAAATTACGGGACAATCCACATCAAGCTGCATTTTGGGTTTCAATTTTTATATGGTTCAAATGCATGCATTCTTTAAGATACTGTGCTCAGAATTTTAGATACTCCATAGAATCATTTCACAGGAATGTACAAATACATATCAGAGAGAGTACTTTTAGTTAGGATGAAAGAACTAAGACAGTACTTACAAAACATTTATTTGAAGTTGTACTAAGTTATAAATGAAGCAATACCAAACTAGTAAAAGCTACCATCTGTACAATTATCAAAGCACACTGTTTTCTTATCCCTTTAAGACTACAGTTTCATATATTACAGAGTAGTTACAGAGGTGTCATGTTTGGGTACCTTAACCAGATATTAAACATTATTAAATATAAAATAGCTATAGAGACAATTTCAATTAAAACTATTTTAATAGTTACTTCCCTCCTCCCATCGCACTCAAGGACCAAAAAGAAAATCTCATTTTTACTCATGAACTAATACTTTGATTCAATTTTAGTTTAACTTTCCAAAAAATGTTTTGATGGATTTTTTTTCCATAGGAGCCTCTCTAATTATTTTTCTACCAGAAATTCCACCAGTATCAAACTGTTTTGGCTAATACCAAAAAAAAAAGTATACAATGTGTCTTAGAAAGGCCTTTGGAATTGCGTTTAGTAGTGAGCTGGCTGCTGGTGTCTTGGGAGAGGTCAAACGGCGTTGGGGAGGGGAAAAAGGAGCTCGCTTTCCATTCCTGTGTGCATGCAACAAGCAGCAAAACACCAAAGTTACTCCAGTTAGCTTGGTATCAGCTCTGCTTTCTGTTAAAAAGGACATAATACAAATGGAGAAGGGAGGTCGTATCACAGATCTAGACACACATGATTATCAGCATAACAATACAGCACTATGGACTTTTTCCCCCCAAACTACATTGTTAATCACCCTAAAAACAATTTAATGTGTTAAAATATATCCGATAAAACTTTTCCAAAGGCTGGAATCTAGCAGTGCTTTTGCTGTTTTAAGTGTTTAAATGAACGAACATCGAAACAACATGAACAGCCACAGACAAAACAAATTCTGTCTATCATACTGAGTTGGACAAGTGTCAATACATAAATCTGTATTAAAAATATTAATCCATAAAAAAAAAGTTAGCAGCAATGTTTATGCAATTCAGGTCAATGTGATTACAAGAGAAAAAAATCAAGTGCATCCTTTTTACAGTGAAGTTCTATCCTTAGACTTTTTTTTTTCTGGAATTCCACAGCCATAAACTATTCTGTAACTAAAACCGAATCCACATTGATGCCCACAACAGTAACAACAACAGCTTTCAAAATATAGCAGGAGCCTAAAGCCATTTTTGCCCGTGGGAAATAAAAGTTACAGTTTCACAACGGCTCGCACTGACCTAGGGGAGCGGACACAGGCACCCACTGGGCCAAGGCTGTCTCACTGGTTGGCAGCAGCTCCATTTTAGATGGAGAGGTGTGAAATGGTCTTTATCTCTCCATAGGAGCCCTGGCAAGCTCAGTCAAGGGCTATGGACATCCCACTTCCAAAACAGGATTGTGTTTCAGCACTTTTGCTGCAGCACAAGTACCCCTCCTGGAACTAGATGGCTAGTAATATTTTGGCCTTCATCCTCACTTGGCCTGCAACCACCTCTTCCACTCCCATGTATCTTATAAGGAAAATGGAAGAGTCTTTCCCTGTTCTACAGGGTTAGGTCTGGAAGTCAGACCTGAAAGATCCATTGTCAAAAGGAAAAGAAACTGAATGTGCCCAAACCCTCCTCAAGCAAACTGGTACAGCACTTCACTGATAAGTATCTTAAACCAAAAGCCCCATGAGCACCTGTACATGGAAATGGAGGCAATTCCACGGCACTAGGAAAAGGAATATAGTCACAGAACTTAAAAGTTGCTGCTGTGGAATTTGGTCCCATTGACCCTTTGTATAGGACACAGCTGTGGAGTGACTACACACACTCCACACACAAGGCCAGTTTCAACAGCTTGGCAGGACTACTTTGGATTTTGGTCTGGACAGATTAAAATGATTTATTTTTGTTCAGGCAGTTAAGCTTACCTCCTAAACAAGCCATTACAAAATAAAAGCATAGTTCAGAAAGAAAATTCATTTGCAATAAGAACTCCATATGAATGAACAAGATTAAAATAAAAAGTTTAACTTTTATTCCATGATGTTACATCTGCAAAAATGCGTCCAAAGTAAACTAAGGCTAGCAGGCAATTATTGAACTATAGACTATGAAATATCCTTCCCCACTTCCTTTTTGCTGCATCAACCCAATCAGTAATAGAAATAGTGGCTGGTATTCACATTTAGCTTATAAACATGTATCTCAGAAGGCAGTAGTTACTCAGCRGTATGAAGAAGTTTCTCCTTGCTTGACTATTTCAAAACAAATTTAAATAATGTGAAAGGAATAAAGTGAAGCGAAAATTCAATTGTTTGAATTACTCATTTAAACAAAACAATTGAGTGTATGTTATTTTCCTGTTCTTCCTCTTAACAGTAGCATAACATCCACTACCTCAGAGCAAACCCAGAACAGCCTGGTTAAGCACTCAAGCAATAGTGCAATAGACGTCGCACTTAAAACAACAGGCACAAAATATTAAGACAAATTAAGAATCAAGAAGATTCAGAGAAGAATATTTTGTGAAATCTCCTTTGTGCACTAACGAGCCTACCTGCCAGCAGATGATCCATTTAGGGAGTTTTGCAGACTCGTATTCACTGAACCCAGAGAGGCGTTGAAAACTCCCTGCTGAGAGCTCCCATTGACCGGACTCCCGTTACCTTTCAGTATCCCAGTGCACTTCCAGTTGTCCATATAATTTGCTGAAAATACATACACAAATGACAAAAAAGAAATTAACTTCCTGAAGACCAGCTTTTGAAAAAAATCAACAATTACATTTCAATGGCTACATAGCTAGTGTGAATTAGGATTGCATTTATATAATCCATATAAATACACATATAAGCTCAAAATAGTAGAGAATTTGGCCTTCTAGCTGCCTGACAGCCTCTGCCTACCTATTATTTAAACCTCAGTTCTGTTCAATAGCAAGAATGAATTTACTTTGTCCTTATTAAAACGCTAACCATGCACAAACGTAAATGGCTGATGAAAATGACACCGATTTTTGTTGTTGCTTTGGAATTTTTAACAAGAAAATACTCCAGGAAAAAAAAATAAAAACGTTTGCATGAATGCTACCGATGAATAAAGATTTTCTGGTTTCTGGAGTTCTTACCCTTCCACAGCCGAACGCAGCCATCGTCCCCTGAAGAGGCGAGCACTGTGCCTGTGATATTCCAGCTCACTCGCCACACCTGGGAGTTGTGGTTATCAAACTGAGCCGCAATGTGAATTTCAAATTTTGTTAGTCCTCCAGAAGAGGTCAATTCTTTCCTGTTCAAGAGCAAGTGACAGTTTTGTACACAAGTGTTCCAAGGTCCATCTTGAACATGCAAACAAAAGGACTCCTTAGGAAAACTCCTTCAAGGAGTTTATGTAATAATTGTTACTRCATTATGAATGTTAAGAGATATTTGAACAAAACCCTCTTCTTTCTTATAGTCTTGTCATCTTAAAAATCATACAACTAAATAAAACTCTGCATAGTTTACATTGTTTAGATAGATACAAATATCTTCTGCTTCCCAGATTTGCTTCTCTTTGCTTCTAAAAGACAATATAGTTATGCATCATATCATACTGAACTCTATTCCTTCAAAGCTCACCTTAGAGGTTTGAGCGTGAAAATCCGCACATCTTTGGTTGCTACAGCTAAGATGTGGAAGGATCTCCCCAGATTTGGAGCAAATGCAATATCATGTACAGGATCTGTGACTGTCATAAGAGCTTCTGCTTTTGCGTATTTTCTGTAGAAAAGCAGAGAACAAGTTAAACTTAAATGCCATCCAAGCTGCCAGTGATRCAGTTTAAAAGAGCTACCCCTAAGGAAACAGGGACAAATGGATGATTGATTATCTGCAAAAATAAAAACACTTTGCTAACATAAACTAAATTGAAAATACTAAGTAACAATTAGAAAGAAATTTCTTTGGAAATTGAATACATCAGATATATACAACAATAGGTACTAGCAGTGGGCTAAATCATGCAACCAAGTAAGCCTTCCAGTAGAAAGAATATATTTCTGTGAGCTGAAAAACATAAATAAAAAGATTCTTCCATTTACACATCTAAAAGAAATTTAAACAACTTATTCAGTTTTCCAAGCTTATAAGCAGACCACTATCTGCCTACTTTGCTATAAAATGAACATGCATTCCACCATACTCTCATTGTTGGTGTAACAAGGTGAGATACACCAACTTTTCTTTACTATGAATGCAAAGAAAACACCATCTGTAGCAAAGCACAAATCCACAATACATCTTCTCTGCATCCATACAACAGTCATTCTGAATGAAACGGAAGCTCTTTGCCATTATTTACTTAGAAGTGGTTGTGCATATACTTCTTGGTATATTTGGTACTGAATTCTTAAATTTACAAACAGAGCCATGTAAATTCTACAGCATGTTAATAATTCAGAGAATTTCCTAACATTTTCTCTTTAACACTGTGCAGTTACATTTTTGAGTATCGTTAAGGTAGCCTTTAAAAAACAGTGCCTAGAGTAGGGCAACTCAAGTATCAACTTCAGTCCTATTAGTTCCTTGTGCGAATTTAAATTCATAAACTGTAAGAAGGAGAAACAACAATTCCCACTTTAAAATCTTGCTAAGAACATTAGCATTTACACGCTGAGGGGAAAAAAAATAAATCCACAATGTCCATTACCACCACCACTATGCTGGTGTCCCTTGTCCCTTTTCCCGTTTTGTGGCATAAGAACATCAGCTACCAATTACTAAGGGCAATTTTACCAACACAAACTTTCCAAAACAATGCTGAGGATTATGTCATTTATCACTCTACTCCACATGTAATGATGGGGATAAAATAAAAGGACATACGCTACAAACTATTCTAAAATGCACAAATGTTATACTACTTAATTGTTTCGCATACCTGGTGTTTTCATTATATTCATAAATTTGAACTTTAGCCAATATATTTGGACTGTTGTCATCACTTCCTACAGCTATCATTGGAGAATGAGCTCGAGAGCTAAAAGGGAAAATAAGTATTTTATATTTATACACCATTTCACAGAAAGTAAGCAAAAAAGCATTGAAAAAAAATAAAAGATTTGAAGCACATCTATAAAAACAAGACCTCACTAAAATACTAACATGTCATTCAGTTATCTGTGCAACCTCAAATCTGTTGTCTTMAATGGTCACCTCATACACGAAACTAAATACAGACAAATTAGAGAAACATTATTTGGCAGTCCAAGACCATGATAACRTATTAATCTGGAAAACGGAATATATGTAGTCATCTGCGGTTAAGATTTCTCTATATATTACATAGCAGAATCTGCATCCTATCCGTAACTATTCCTGATTGATCTATCAAGATTTCATTCAGATTTCAGAAAAGAGATTACATTTACAGGGGAAACATACATGAATTCTAACGTTACTCATTTTAACATTACCCAGTGCATTAAAGAGAAAGTCTGTGCTGTGATTGTTCAGCAGAGACTACAACTACATGAATAAAATAAAAAGTATCATCAGGATACAGATCACTGCTTCCACAGGGGAATTAAATTAAATAAAGAAAATAAATAAATATCTCCAAAGGGAACAGGATCCAAGGCAGTTCAGCCCTGAATTATTTAATTATTTTCCTCCTCTCCCATTGCTGCTGGGGGAGGTCGTGAGCTGCCACATAAAGCAGGAGCTCTGCCCACACGACGTCTCCTGGGCAAGGAGGGCTCCACTTGCCATCCAAACAGCKAAGCGCACCACAGAGCTCTGCACTCCTGTGAGCAACACTCCCAGGCTGCCTCGCACAGCACCCTGCGAGGGACACATTCCTACGTTCACAAATCTAAAATGAATTTATACTACAATAATTTATGCATTTTTCCTGCACTTACAAGCAGAAACTACCATGTCAAAATCATTACCAATAGCAACGATTTTCTTAAGGTGTAAAGATGAGAAAAGAATTGTTTGCAAACACTTTCTAATAGGAAAATTTCAACTGAGCTTTGCAGAATAAAAGGCACTCAATAATTCTGTGGCTTATCATTTATTAAAATTAGTTAAGTTCAGAGTATYTATCAAACAGAAGAATCTTAAAAAAACATCTTTGGCTCAGCCAAATTAGCTTTATTACAMGAACTGTCACTAGCTTTTTCCCCAGTCCTAATGTACACTTAACTTCCTCTGAGCATTTGGGGGATTTCGCTTTGTAACATTTCAGAACTCTTTAGATCTGCTGCTTAAAACTCCACCCAGGCTTAATAACATACCTTGAAGGATTCCAAGAAATGCAACTGCAGCTGAGCTTACAGGAGATTTCATGCTGCAGTGACCACTGACTGAGATTCATCACATCTGGGGCTTCGTAGATCCTTACGACTCCATCTGCTGAACAAGTTGCTAACATAAGACCCATGTGCTTGGGAGCAAACTTAACATCTGTTACAGATGTCCGGCTGTCCACTAGAGTTGTCCTCTTTACCTGCAAAGAAAGAGGGAAGTTGTTGAAGGAAGTGCTGGCAATTTCCATTAAAAAAAAAAAAACATATTGTGAGAAAAGCTAATGAAAGTATTAGAGCACCACTTTATAGCATGACCTCACCGCATGCATTTCATATACTAGTTCTTCCACCTAGAACTAAAGAAAGATCTTTATACACTAACTTATGTGAGAAGTAACAGATCATTGCACTCGGGCAATTCCAAACAGAGAGATGCTCACAGTGATATAAAGGTACTGATACTAGCAAGAGTTGTTTGGAACAGACTCTTCTAGGAGATAAAATCAAAACACCAAATGTACTTCTGATAGAGGGTGATCTCAAAAGACATTTGTTAAGATGGAAAAGGAAAACATACACGCTCTTGTTTTTCCAAATTGTGTCCTTTTAAGTAGTACAAGTTTGAGCTGAAAGACAGAAGTCTCAACTGCCTCCTGTGCAGGAATGACAGCTTGTACCCCATACTGGGGGYCGGTAGTGCCCAACTTTTCACCCTTATATGTTTTAACATTATAAGAGTTCAGTATATGGTAGCTATTTTAAGAACCTAAAGCAAACAACATTCTAAGATACATGAGATTATATAAAGTATATGAGATTATGAGACATGAGATTACACATCAAAAATACTTTGATATATTCCCATAAAGGGAATATGTTGCAGAAACAGAAGTGTTCAGTAACTTAGTATTTGGAACAACTTTTATCTTCAGTCTTCTGCTTACTTCTAGAGATTAAACATTCGAAAACTTCAGTCTGTTATAATAAACAAACTAATCATTAAGGAATAGGAAATATGTTCATATGAAAACATATGAATTCTGTAGTTAATACATCRAATTCTCACCCAGTGACTCTGCCCACGGAGTTTATCATTTGACTCTCCCACTATTTCYTCCCAAACAGCTGCAGTTCTATCAAAAGAGCAGGAAGCCAGGACCTGCCCAAACTCTGGATGAGCCCATGTCACACGCCACACAGATCCACTATGTGTCTGCAAGATAAAACTAAAACGTCATAGACCAGGAAAACATATTTATTGTGTAATCCCAAGCAGTCAGTCTTTCTACTGCTGAAAAAAAAAAAAAAAAAAAAAAAAGGAATTCCTAGAAAGCTTAAGACCATTCCTCTTTTAGAAGGCTCAAAGTTATATAACAACTGCTGAATTCATTCATTTCTCTAAGCACTGCAAAGCTACACTCCTATTAATTACTGTAAGTCTATTTCAAGGCTTGTTTCCTTTATATAAGTAATATATAAATATATAGTAAAGTTCCCCTGTACTTTTCTAAAGCATATCCACAGCATTACTCATYTTCTCCTTCTTCATAACAAATTGCTCTTCCACACTCAGTAAAATGAATGCTTCTTTTCTCAGGAAAACTCTACATCTTCACTTGCATTTCCATTCACATGGCTTAGTATTTACACAGTTCTATTATATATGTTTAAGGACAATTCAAGAACTGAATGCCCCAGTTACCCGGGAGAGAGACTTGTTTTCATATGATAACACAGTTCACAGAAAGATTATGAAAAAATACAGACAGCTCAATACTGTAATCACCTACTAGACCAATCTCTTCCTTCTCTGTAAATCTTAGAATATGTAAAAAGGAGGYGTTCAATTAAAAACACGGATACTGCTTTCCACCTTCCATACTCTTGTTACCAGCACATTTACTGATAACAACTTCTGCCAAGCTAATTAGGTACAAGACTGCATTCAATCCCAGCTTTAAGTGAGGAGGGTTACAGATGTTTTAGAGAAGTGTTTTACTGTAACATTATTTACAAGAAACAAAAGCATTTATACAAGAGCTAAGCATATTTTGACAAATCATTGGAGAAATTATGGTGTAACTATGTAATTACCAATACAAACCTTCCAGCTGGCAGTGCAATGCCAATCCCCATTTTCACTTTTGTCCCAGACCTATTGAGAAGTAAAAATACAATCACACAACTTGCATATTGAGCTTACTAGATAGTTAAAAAAAAAAGAACAAAGCCATTAAAAGCAAATAAACAAACCCCAAAACAGAATACAGATTRTTTTCTTCCTGGCTAGATACACAAGTGCACTTAGCTATATAAGCTATAATATTTTAGCTATCGCTAAAATATCCTTCCTACAGGGCCAGGATGATGACCCTGACGACCCAGGAGGCAGACATCTGCAAAACCCACTACACTAGGAGTTCTATTATTTTTTTAAAGAACAAAYTATTTACAGAAAACAAAACATTATGATCTTCATCACTTCACTTTGACCTTACATTCCATGGGCATGCCAGAATCACTCCGCTTTACCATAGTGCTTCYATGGTCCTCACCACAGCACGTGCTCAGAGTCCCAAAAGCTCTTGACAATTTCCATGGACAGAGCAGGGCAGCAAGAAGAAACTGTTCCCAGTGGGTTAACAGATCTTGTTTCTAGTATGTCTAACTGAATTAGACCTATTCTGTCAACAGTTTCTCTCAACTTTTCAAAAATCTTCTCTTTGYAACCCTTTCAGAGATCACGAAGGACCTCTTGAACCTCATCAAGGAAAAATGGCATAAGGCCCCTGGCAGCCACTCTTTGTTTCTCACTCATTCATGTCRAAGTATTACCTCACTTCTACCATTCTGGATCCCTTATGCAACCTTATAATCTATTCCCCAGGTGAACTTCATGATAATTTCTCCCTGATTCCTACTCTGAATACACTGGAGTTACAGAAGTGTTGTAAAATTTTGGAAAATGTATCTTATACAAGACACTTATACGATGGGAAAGCAACATGACACCACTAAACAATATTGCCCGTAAATTCCATCTACCTCATGGCGTTTTTACTCAGATTTTACAYAGTCAAACCCGATCAAAGGTTGGGCCAGTAACTGGTTTATTTGTTTGGGGGAGGAATTTTTTTTTGGAGTGCACGGGAGGGCAGAGAGGCTGTTTACCTATCTTTCACGTAACTAGACGCAGCTATTTATCGAAACGCACCACGGCTTTTGCAAACATTTTCCAGCCCCCTAAATGCGGGGCACACACACGCGCGCGCACACAGAGGACATTATACGTAAATCCAGCCTGGCTCCACAGCGGCCGCCTCGGCCGGCGGGGCCC